GGGAAAGGATCAGTGCTGGGATTTATCAGAACAAAATTCTAAAAACTGCAGTATATTTGCTATGTCCCATATTTCCACTTTGACAGCTAATTATTTAGTGAATGCTATCAACAAAAAGATACATTTCCTGTAGGAAGTGAAACAAAAGGGAAGCTTAAAAAAATAAATTAAAACAACACACAGTTCCCTGTGGGCAATAAATAAATGTGTACAAATGTAGCCTTACTTATTGGAAGTAACAACAGAGCAAAAGGTTTAACAAACAAACCCATACTGAAATCTTTTGACCTTCCTAATAGCATAACATTGAGCAGGTGCCTTCAATGGTGCAAAGTCCTCCAATACTTTTGTCATGTAGGTTCCAGCAGAACAGGCCAGCAAAGAAGAAAAACATAACTGTCTGGGTAAATGCTCACTGACCATAATTTCTGTGCTGGCTGCAAACTCAAGTTGCTCTGCTCTCAACTCCCTCTATAAAACTTTGGATAAATCATGCCCTGTTAATGAAATGGTGGTAAAATAAAGATTTAGTAGCTACCAAAAAAATAAAATATCAAACAAAAGGTGTTCAGAAAATCCTGAATCAAGACAGGTGACCAAATTTACAAGGAATCCAAGTTAAAAGTTGCTTGCTGTATAGGATAGATTACTTCTATTTACTTTTAACATGCAAATTTATAATATATGATATATAGAGAATATAGTGAACTGCTAATGCCTAGAATATAACCATCTATCCAGCTAATCTCTGCCTTAACTTTGGCATGATTTTTTTTACAGTTTTGTTTTATAAAATCCCCATTTGAATTGCATGCATCACACGCTGCACACAGGTGCCCCTCCCAACCCCAATATCCCCACACACTTTAAGAGCAGATGTCAGGCAGGCGATTGTAAACATTGAGCCACCCAGATTAAAAATAACATTAACAAAGATTTGTTCTAAATCAATACATTAAAAAAATAATTCTAAAAATGCAATAAAACTGCATTTTTCTCTTTTTCTTCTTGTTTAAAATCATCCTATATTTTGAGCAATTGAAAAAAAAAATCTTTAATACTTCCTAAACCTACTACTGCCCCAAGTCCTTCCCATCAAAGAATCTATATTTTAACTGCTTTGAGATGGAAGAAAGAATTATTCCATATCTGAAAGGTAGGCAAACTCCTTGTAAGAGACTATTCTTGCTTTCTCTTTAAACCAAAAGGAGGAAAAACATGCTTTATCAGAGGCCAGTATTTTTAGGATAATCTGTGATATTTTGAAGTTTCAAATCCGCGAGGGAACAGAACAATAAACCCATACTAATTTCTTGTGAGGGATTAAAAACAGCACCTTTCTTGTACAAAGTAAACTCTTTTACTGAAAACTTACTACAGCATATTGATAATAATATGTCTTTAAGAATTGAATCAATTCATTTTCCCATAATACTCTATACTTCTTTCTTATATCTGAAAAAGGATGTAGTTTTAAATTAAGAAAACTATTTCTTGTGTAGAAACTTTAATCCTAATTGATGTTGCAGTGTGTAACAGAAGAATTCTGTTCTAAAATTGTACAAAACAGCAACACCATCGTTCATTTATTATCCACTTACAAATACTTCAGTCCCATCTTGATTGCGCTGAACTACTTAAGCAGAAAGGCAGTGTAATTCCTTAAAGCAGTGTTTCTCAACCTTGACAATTTTAAGGCATGTGGACTTCAACTCCCAGAATTCCACAGCCAGCGTTGCTGGCTGTGGAATTCTGGGAGTTGAACTCCATATGTCTTAATATTGTCAAGGTTGAGAAACGCTGCCTTAAAGCCTCTGCAAAATGTTTGCTGTGGAAAGGAAGGATGACAAAATCATTAGATTGACAGTACCCTTTTCTTTCCCTGCTACTACTCTTCCATTCACATAATAAAACAGAATCTCACTAGATAACATTTCTAATAATTTGGCTAATTAGGATTTTCTAGAAGCAGCTGTTCTAGGCCTTGGAAGACTTGTGGCACTCAGTAGGGGTTGGCATCTGTGACCCTCTGAACTACAAATTCTACAGTCTCTTTCTGGTCAAGGAGATGAAAGCAGATGTCGCCCCAAAACATCTGGAAAGCTAAAGGCCTTGCAGAATGGTCATATAGATTTTAAAGACAAAGGATAGAGACTACAAGCTCCCAGTAGAAAAGATAAGCTGAACATAAGCAATGCTCTTATAACCACTGATTGTTTTAAGCATTTTGCAAAAATGGATCTTAGCAATTCTATTCTACTAGCAATCACAAAATGTGATGTAAGAAACAATCAACAGTAACTTAAATACTGTTACCTTAAAAACGCAACTGACAGTATTTTTGGCAGGGAGGGAATAGAAGGCACTTATTCATAGGAATCAATAGGCCCCCATTTGTCCCAAGAAGCAGCAAATAATTACTATCAAATTCTTAAAAGAATTTGAAAGGAACAGAAAGGCCTTCTTTACAAAAATTATCTCAAGGTCACAAGCCCAGACTCCTGATAAATGAGACCTTACTTTTGATAAAGAAGACGGTCCAGTTATTTAACAACATCACTGCCCGGGAATTCATTGTTTGAGTAAGACATCCAGGAAACTGGTTAAGCTTTAACCAATTCATGTTGGGAACTGATTTTAAAACAGTTAAGAGATTTGGAGCTTTAAAAACTTAAGATTCTCTGCAGTCTAAATGCAGATTCACTGTTAGCTTCAGGGTAAAGATCCCCTGGAGGGGTTAAAATGCCAGCTGTCCTATTATATATCACTCATGCTCCACCAACTACTATGGTTACTTTGCTTAAGTATAAATAATCTAGCAAGATCGAAACACAAGCAGCAAAGCCAGAATGAGGAGGGCACATGAAGCTGTTAGGCCAAAACTAGTCAACTGCTTATATGACAATACTTCCGTTAGCCATCCAGAGCCTTTCTGCTTAACTTTCTGTATATTCCTTTATTCCACCAAACAGTTCTGTACATCCTTCTTTTCTTCTATGTAGCCAGTGCCACTGTCTACTTGCAGTGCTGTTCTTTAACCTGGAATTGGAAGCTCACTTTTCATTCCTATATTATCTTCATGCTCTGAACCCTCTCCAACATTCTTAATCCAGAGTGTCATATGCCCAAGCTTCAGTAGCCTTCCAATCTGCCCTTTATTTTTCAAGATCAATTCCTCTAAATAGTTTAGCAAAATGTGCGGAAATACTGAACAAAACACTAGCAGAAAAATCAGAGCTTGTCACTAAGATAAGACTGCTTTAACTTAATACAGGACATGAGAATTCTACTGCAATTGTCCTGATGCGCTTCCATTAATCCAGTGGTTCTCAACCTTTTTAATGCCACGACCCCCCAACCGGTCATAAGTAGAGGACTACTCAACCGGTCGTAAGTCGAGGACTACTCAACTGGTGCAGCACCGTTTGCAGAATGGGACTTTTGGCGGGCTCAGCAGGGCAGAGACAGCCTGGACAATTCCTATTGGCTTTTGAAAGCCAATAGAATTAGACTCTATTCAAGAGAGTCTATTCTATTGGCTTTCAAAAGCCAATAGAATAAAAGGAAGTAGCACAGCTAAGGAAAAGGGGAAAAAAATGGTGGACTGCGTTGTTTGGCGACCCCCGTGAAATGGTCGTTCGACCCCAAATGGGGTCCCAACCCACAGGTTGAGAACCACTGCATTAATCAGTCACCAAAAACGTAGCTCTAACATGATTTTTACACTACATCTTTTAGCACAGAGGTCCCCAAACTTTTGGGCACCAGGGACCAGTTCCGTGGAGAGATATTTTTCTGCAGACTGGAGGGGGCCTGGTTTCATGTACTGCCTGCATCCCACAGATGGGGCTTTGCTTGTTTGTGCGGCCCAGTTTCTGGCATGCTGTGGCCCGATGCCGGTCCACAGACCAGGGGTTGGGGACCCGTTTTAGCCAATAGATCTTCTCTCCCTGGTGGAAACAGGTGTCCAGGGATTGTTCTATAATCTGCACCTGTTTCATTGTCTCTTTTAAGCATTTAAGGCTTTGCTTGATTCTCAGTTTTAACATAAAAATTACAAACTTTTGTCATTACTCTTCAAAACGGTTCTAGAAAGCACGCTTTATTCTTCTCTAACCTTCTTTATTGAGTTTATATGCCACCCTATCCTGTAATTCTTGGCAATTCACAACAATTAAAAATACACTAAAATGACCTTTCCTAATAAATATTCATGTTTGTATCTGTGTATCTTCATAGAATTAATAAATTTGAATCTGGAGACCTGCATGACTTCCAAGTGAAGCTTATTTATGTTTTCCCACATTAACTGAGCCTCAAGGAAAATGGATATGTTAATAATTTGGTTTATGGTCATACAGAACATACCCATGCATATTACTTAAACATGGGAAACCAAAATTGACTGTAACCAACAGATCTTGGAAACCAAAGCCATATTTCATAAAATTGAGAATAAGTACTAGGTCCAAATGTCCTCATTTATTTTGATAGGTCAATTTCATTTATCTTAGATTTCTATCCCTATTAAGTTTGATCAAGAGGGATTTTTTAAAATACTATTTACTAATCAGAAGCCAATATTTGTTTCTGAATCTCTTGACTGTGATTTAGCAGGATATATTTTGCCAAAGTTATTATGATCCAATTTGGACATAGGATATATTCCCAAATTGGCCCAAAGTATCTTTCAGAGAATGTTTTTGAACTGAAAGGGGTTTTTAGAAGTTAGTTTAGTGAATAAAATAAAAAATTCCCCACTGAAATGAATCTAAATAAACTTGTTAAAGGAATTCATCTTGAAAGCTAGGCATCTTTAAGTCTTCCTAATGAGCTATTCTTCATTTCTTTTCACATACCCTTCTTCTGGTTTCACCTACTGAATTTCTATAAAAGTTTCTAATAAACCTTCCTTGTTGCTAATTTGTTTCTTAAGCCATAAATTTTCTTTCAGCTCAAGGCATCTTATTCTCACTAGCTCTTCACTTCTTCCTTCCTTCTTTCACTTCCTATTTTCTCTTATGTTTTCATAGAACACATACCAAAAATATTTTTCCTTACACAAATCCTATGCCTTGTAAAGTTAGTGTGTAAGACAAATTGCCTTTTTTCAGTTTCTGAAAAATGACACCTTAATAGTCATAATTAAAGCTGGTGGAATATTAGTATGCTATATGATGAAGTAACCACAATCCAGTTGGCTGAGCAGGTGATCTACATCTTGTACAAACAATTCTCTTTTCTCTCCAAATTCTTTTGACACTTTGCAATTTTTGTTAGGATTTGTTTTCAAAAGCACTGCATTCATATAACATGCATATTATTCATCTATTTTCCAGCAAGATTTGCACATTGATCTTCTACGAGGAAACCTCAGCAAGGCCCATCTGATTTCATTGCAACCTGCCTCTAATAACCAAGCCCTCCATATTCCCAGTTTGAACACATGGCTTTACTAAAGCTTCTTCTTCCTTCACTGGTTCTGTCCTTTAAATCAGGGGTCCCCAACCGTGGCAGGGGTCCCCACCTTCAGTCCTTTAAATCAGGGGTCCCCAACCGTGGCAACTTTAAGACTTGTGGACTTCAACTCCCAGAATTGAATTCCAATTCTGGGAGTTGAAATCCACAGGTCTTAAAGTTGCCAAGGTTGGGGACCGCTGCTTTAAATGCAATGGCTTCTTTTGCAAAATGATCAAGATGTACTGAATGCAGAATGCAGGGTGATATCAGGCTGGATGTATCTGGGATCGCAATAAGTACAAACGCACCTCCTTTTCAGCCCTACACAACTATAGTCTCCTGATGAGGATAAAGCTGTGTGGGGTCTTTTCTGGCCTCCGCCGTAATATCCAAGCTTTTGCTAGTAGGAGAAAGCAAGAACAAGTCTCATCTTCAGGACAACATTTAGAGGTTCCAAGTTGCTCATTAGCCCCAGAACCTTGGAAAAGATACCATTGGGAACTGCCTGAAAATAACTTCCCGATTCACTTCCAAAACTCTCTGGCCACCTTTCATTTCCAGACTTTCAGATGGCTCCGATTGCCTGCTAATTACAAAATGAGATTAGTGACTGAGACACCACGGTTCCTCTGGCATGCCTCCATCAACCTGTTAGCTTTGGCCAGTTTAAAAGGTGCCTTCGGATTTTAAATGACTGGATCCCATCTCTTCTTTCTTTTATCCTGTGGAAAGCGTTACACACAAAAGAGAGAGAGAGAGAGAGAGAGAGAGAGAAAGAGAAAAGCTTGATTCTGAAACAAGAGAGAATGGTACTTTGTTTACTGAACCTGGTCTAGGACCACATCTATGCTTGCAGACTGAGCATCCACACAGATGCTGCTGTTCCAAGCCTATGATCTCACAGAGCAAAGTGACTGCTCCTCAATTGGAAATATATCATTGCTACTAGTTAAGACTCTCAACCAATAAGTCCCCAACAGATTAGAGGTCATACATTTGTGACTATCAAGCTTTGTTTTGTTTGAAGAATCTCTCACGTTAAGAGATAATTTGGGCTGACTCTCTTTTTAATGGCTTCATTGGTGCCAGGATTATCTTTAAGTTCTGCTTTTCCTTTTCTTAAATACTGGAAGAAAATGAACAAGCATTTATCCTAGCACCAAATGTGCACTTTGGTAATAAAACACCAAGGACAAAAATTTTGTTCAAACTCAAAAGAGGAACCCTGAGATCACAAAGAACCAAAGAGGGGGATTTTTTTCACTTTAACTGAGTAACTCTTGGGCAAGAATCTAGCACACATTTCCTTTCCAGGGAAGGAACCCTACCCGCAAGCCCTACGAACAAACAAAACCGAGACAACTGCAACTGCTAAGCTCAGCATCAAAAGCAGCAGCCAACTCCTCTATCCCAGCCCCATTTTTCTTTAGCAAATACAAATCCAAAAACACGGAGGGAAAAAAAAAATCAAACAAATAAAAGACACGTAATAACACAGAGACTGGTGAACAGGGGCGGCAGGCAGCCCACAGCACCAGAAGTCCAAACTTAATAAATAACTTGTAAAAAAAATATCTTTTCTATTTTCCTTTTTTGTGTGTTTTGTGTCTGTTCACAGTGCGTGAGCAAGCGTCACTGTTGCATATCCTCAAGCCTCTGGTCACAGTAGAGAGAGACAAGCAGGGAGCACGCTGTCACTGGTGGCAACCCCGATGGCAGATGCTCAGTCCCAGAAACACACAAGCCTGGGCTGAGGAAGTACTTTCTCATCCAAAGCGTTGTACACCTGGGCTGTCTTAATGTGGTTCCTGGAATGCCAAAGGCTCTGAAACATAACCACATTCCAGGAAGACCAGACCTACCACCCATCCCTTCCTGGCAATACTGAAGAAGACAAAATGGTCAAGGGTGACTGAGCGGGTGAAGCAAGTAATTCATGCCACTGGAGAGTCGTTCTAGTGAAGGCTGGTGCTTGTGGTGGTGCTCTCTCTTTTAAGATCTGGTAGCCAAGGACCCCTTCTCTGACACAGCAGCCACGCTACGTGGCTACCTGGTGAAGAATGGCAGGTGATGCTGGCTGAGGATGCTGCTCGTGCGGGGTGACTCTGTCTTAGCCATGACATCTTTGAACCAGGATGCCACATCCACTTCCAGTGTCTCGTAACGCTTGATGAAGTTGTGTTCCTGTAAACAAGGAGATGGAATGCATTTTTCCCCCTTCTGTTCCTAAAAGGCTGAGAACAACTCTAAGGGGGGGGGGGAGAGGAGGAAGGGAAGGAATCTTCCTGAAATCTAGAAAAGTATTCAGTTCTGCTGGGCCTAGTAATTAACTAAGATCAACTGTGTTTGAAATAACTGTATTTGAAAATGTACAAATAGACACACAATGATGCTGAATACAAGCAAAAATAAATCGACAATCATGGAAAAAAATCAGCTCAATAGAATTCTGTTTAGGAAATTCTGTGTGTGTGTGTGTGTGTGTGTGTGTGTGTGTGTGTGTGTGTGTGTGTGTGTGTCTGTGTATATTACATACACACACACAAAACCTCTCCACCAGGTGCAAATTGTTTTTAAAATTAAAATTGGCAGAAACCCCTCCTATAGCTACTATATAACCATTCATATTCACATGAAGTGTTATATACTCACAAGTAGCTTGTTGTACTTTGGTCTCTTCCTGTGATCTTTAGTAAGGCTGGAGGAATAAAAACACACATTCAAACCACATTTTTCAACTGAATTTTGCTTAACAATAGTTCTTTAGCACCAATATTTCATATTTATTTAAGTTATTCCCCTCTAAAATTGCTAGTTAATAGAATGAAATTCATCCTTATCCTGGCACAGCACAGGCCCAATTTTCCACATCTACCTCCCATGGCAATCTGGTTGTCATTTTCAGCTCAATGAAGGAGTCCCTCCTTACTCTGCAATTAGCCAAGACACAGGAGGGAAAAAAGCAGGAGCCATGAACGGGTTGAAGAAACTGGTGGAATGGCCCACAATTTGTGTAAAGTGAGCTGGAAAGCTGAGATGAGATTTAATTTCATGGAAAAATGACAAAGATGCTTGAGTTCACCTTTTCAGAAAAGAACATTACCAGACAGACCAAATAAAGAAGTGTCAATGATCTATTGAGTTATTTATATATAATTAAGTTTGCCTGATTCCGAACAATTCTCGGTGACGTACACTTTAAAAGCGAGAAACAATAAAAACTGGCATTGATGTCCGGAAGAGAAAACCAGGCATAACAACAAAAAGCAATCTACAGAAGCTCAACCATCACCTTCAACCCATGGTGACGAACCTATGGCACACGTGCCAGAGGTGGCACTCAGAGCCCTCTCTGTGGGCACGTGCACCATTGCCCCAACCCCGCCTCCCTCTGCGGCCCTCTCCTCCTCACCAGCAGCGCCCCCAGAGGAGAGCTGCCCTCGAGCGCAGTCCACACAGAGCAGCACAGCCAAGGACATGGCAGCCAGGCAGTGGGGACAAGACTCTGCCCTCGCGCTGTCACACACAGATGATGCTGCGGGGCATGGGCAGAGGGTATGGCTGCCATGGCAATCTGCAGTGGGCCATGGAGGCGGTGGGTGGCCATGCGGGTGGGCGGGGCACAGAGCGGAGGTGGGCGGGGAGGTGGGGGCGGGTTTTGGGCACTCGGGTCTCTAAAAGGTTCACCATCACTGCCCTCAACCCCAAGGCCTGGGAGTACAACCAGGCCCTCAAGGACTTTCAGAACATCATCAGGATGGAAATCATTTTGGATCTCTGTGAGGTTATTATTCCACAGGGTAGTACTGTGACAGAGCATGCAAACTTCCTGGGTCCTGATAGGGCTGAAGTGGGCCCATTTTCTACATAATATTAATTCTGACCATCACCTCCAGAAATTATTGACTGCTCACTCTATGTTGTTTTTGAGACAATTTACTCACCAGTCTTTTACAAAGGACTGGAAATCCACAGAAAACCCCATGTTATTTGGGAGAAGAGGAGGATCTTCCTGCAAAACCTTGGTGAGGACCTCAAAATCTGTTTTGCAGTTCTTGTAGGGAAACTGCCCTGTAGCTAACTCAACCTGCATTGGAATGTGAAGGGAGGAGAAGTGCTGAGTGTTAAAAGTTAAAAACAAGTTAGCAAAAAACACCCACCCTCTCTTTCAGTATCATTTAATAGGATTAGTTTTAGTTCACTGTGTCATACGGTATTAAGAAAAACATCATTTGCTGTTTCGCTGGGATCTCTTATATGTCAAGCAGACTGCTTTCAGGCCTCTGGCACCTCCTCCATCAAACTGGCTGAAATCCCACAATATCGCTGAATCTCATAATACTGCCACAACCATCCTAAGTCACAAAAGTGTTGTGCGATGTTAGTCTTACGTTTAGCTTTCTTTTAAGATACTTTTAATTTTGTTTTTGTATTCTTCACTTTAGAAAGAGAGAATAAGGTACTCAAAAAACTGCTACCTTCTACGAAATAATAATTACTGTGCATGTGAAAAATTATTTAAGCATGCTGAGAATCTAGCAAGGCTTAATTAAAGAGCTTTGGCATCTACATGGGCTACAGAGAAGACCTTTGCAGCCTGCAAGCAGCCTGCAAGCTATGGATTATCCCTTTGCATATCAAAAAACAGTCAAAGAGTTTAACTTACCAGGGAAATGCCCAGGCTCCACACGTCTGCACGGATATCATAATCTGGTTTTGAGGGATCAGGAGGATCTATTCTTTCAGGCTAAGAACCAAAAAAAAAAAAAAAGGCCATTAAAAGAGCAACTGATTGCTAATTTCTTACCTGCACTTAAGGAAACAATCCCCAATTATAGAAGCAAAATAAGCAATGGAACTACAATGGCATAATAGTACGGTACATTTTCAAAACGTTAGGCCATATTCTAATGGCAACTCTGTGTAGAGGTGCTGTGAATCACATACCAGATGTGTGATTCTGATTCCAAGGGGACATTCTCAGGCAGAGATGCACTGATATAATCTAAACAAGCCTGGCCCAGAATACTGTTGGAAAGAAAGCCTATTAAGGAATCGATACGGTAAACAAATTGGGCACATTGTAATGGATTTTAAAATTACAGCTAGATCCCTGAAGATATTCCCTAAACAATTCTCTAATCCTTACCGCCATATATGCTGCACAACCAGCACTCCGGGTTTTGGCTTTTGAATCTACCAGCCTCCCACTGATCCCAAAGTCACACAACTTGATTTGCCCCCTCTCATCCAGCAAAATATTGGAAGGCTTCACATCTCTATGAATGACACCATGCTTCTCTTTCAAATAATAGAGGGCTTTCACAATCTAGGGAGGAAAAAAAAAAACACCAGAAATCAGTGCTGAAGAAATGACTCACTGTAAGAAAAGTAATTTTTGAATTTGTTTAGGATTAGCAAAACTGAATTTCTATGAAGACATTTGCTGCTTGGAAAGCAAAGGTTAGTCTCTCACTCGGAAGATTATGTGATTGTATAGAATATAGAGTTTTAGTTACATACGGTAATATGCTTAAAACGTATTATAGCATCTTTTATCCGTATACATCACAAAACAAATGTCAAAGTCATTATTAAAAAGAGGAGGGATGCATATGTGAAGCTATACCTTTAATATTTCTCTTTGGTAGGAGAGATGCACAATCTTCCTTACACTGAATTTTATTCAGTTTTATTCTGATTAAATAATACTCACTCAAATTGTCAACTGTAGCTTAAAAACTAGAGCAGACTTAATTGTGGTAAACCAGGTTTTTTTTCTTAATGTTAGGTTGACTTTTTAAGTTGTCAACTTCCATATTGCCATTCATTGACACTTCCTCTAAGTCAGTGGTTCTCAACCTGTGGGTCGGGACCCCATTTGGGGTTGAACGACCATTTCACGGGGGTCGCCAAACAATGCAGTCCGCCATTTTTCCCCCTTTTCCTTAGCTGTGCTACTCCCTTTTATTCTATTGGCTTTTGAAAGCCAATAGAATAGACTCTCTTGAATAGAGTCTAATTCTATTGGCTTTCAAAAGCCAATAGGAATTGTCCAGGCTGTCTCTGCCCTGCTGAGCCCGCCAAAAGTCCCATTCTGCAAACGGTGCTGCACCAGTTGAGTAGTCCTCGACTTACGACCGGTTGGGGGTCACGGCATTAAAAAGGTTGAGAACCACTGCTCTAAGTTGTGCATACAGCCTTCAGGTGTGTGTTTGCATGCCCATTGCACTTATGTTTGTAAGCAACATACATTTTTATTTGGGGCCACCTTACCAGAGGTAATCAACACTCACCGCCACAGTCATCTTTCCCAAGATTCTCTCAGGGATGGGACCTTGGATGCGTTTCTTCAGCTTCTCTGCGCAGGTGCCCATTAGCTCCATGGCTATAAAAACATCAGTCTATGGACAAAAGGGGAGAAATGAAAGGATATAGTGACCCAGTTCATCATATTACATTTTAAACATAGAGTAGAAAGAAACACCGGCTTTCACTTACGTTTGTGATGAAAGTCCCAAAGCACTGAACGATGTAGGGACAGTCGTGACTCTTCAGCACCACGTCCAAATCCATTAGGATCCTTTTGTTCTCCTCTTTGTTACCAGAACGACGCATTTGCTAAAGAGAGAAAGAAAAAGAATGAGGCGTATCTGAGCATAGATAAAACATTTTTTTAAAAAAGATGTACTGTACATGTCTTCCCTCATGGTGAGCACTTCTGTTATTCCTCCAATGATCGTCCCTATTTTCTATCTACAAAAGACATTGTAAATCTCTTCAGCCTGTATCTCCTGACACAAAAATTAATAAATCATACAAGCTGTATTCAAAGTGAGTAAATTCCTGCCATTTCAACCCTGACTTCTTATTCTTTTAAGAATGTTGGGTTTCAAGAGTCTTGAGTTTCAAAGCTCAAGTATATCTACCTCACCTTCACAGCTATGATGTGTCCTGTCTTCTTGAAGCGCATTTTCCACACCTGTCCACACGTCCCACTACCAATCTCACCAAGGTTTTCTAAGTCATGGATTTCAGCTTGATATCTCTGTGGGAAATGAGGACATATAACTTAGGTACAAACACGTAATAATAGAGTGAGTATCAAAAAAGGGAAGACTGTTTTATGGTAACCTTTAGTGTAGTCGACTTATGTCACCAGTGTCAACGCTGCTAATATTGAATATTCTTGCTTTGACAAAATATGCAGAACTGTCTGGTACTTTTAGAGTTAATTCAGAGGAGAAGGGGAGAGGAGAGAAAAGCACACAGAAGGGAACAAAGTGAATCTTTGCCCTCCAGGTTAATTGGAAGATGTGAATCATGACCCCAAAACAGGGGAGGGGAAATACCTGGAATGTTATGTGCAAAGGAAAGGAAATTCAGATCTTGGCATTCTCCATGCCCTGCCGACACTCCGTAACACTAATAAAGGCTTTTTAGGTTAAAAAATGCCTGAAAGTTCTTTGAAGTGTTTCATTAATCAGACACATGACAACCAGGTTGCAAAATATTTTAATCTACTATATCTCTTATTCTTCCTGTACAATATCCTTTATAAAGTCACATTAACTTGCCAATCTAAAGTGAAACTTCACAGCAGAACTTTAAAATGCCTATCTGAAAGCTAAATATTAACTTGAAAAAAATATACTGCATGAAATGCAACAAAAAAGAATAAGATGGACAGCCCACAAATCCTATATCCAAGAAGGCAGGTTATATCATATTAGATCAGACTAGGAAGTTCCTTATCACAATTTTCTGACCTCAAATGTGATTAGCTTTAATCAGAAACTGAGCTGGAATACTTTGTGTATAGCAAGGTAGATGAAGTCAACCTACCTGGCCTCCAATGGTCAAATAACCAGTTTGCTTCATGATCTCCTGCAGTTTTTGATCAATTTCTATGCTAGGAAGGGAAAGAAAGAAAAGCTGTAAGAGCTTATGGCAGCTTTTATCCTTGACATGGGACTATATGAACACACTCTCTCTGCAGGAACAAATACTATGAAGAAGTGTATGCACAGCCCTATTATGAAGCTCCCGTGCTCAGCAATAGTATCTAAATAATTATGTAAAGAAGGAATTTTCTACAAAGAAAAATAAGTAGATTTGCTTTCAAACCTCCTGACAAATCAGTTCTACAGCAAGCCCTCTAAATCATTCCCAGCTGTAAAGAAGAATGCAGATTGCCATGAATGTTTACTTAACTGGTGAATGCAAAATAAGCAGCAGTTCCAGTTAATAAGCCAAATTGGCACACCCTTTCACGGACACATGCTTTTAAACTTCCTAGGGCCTAATATAAATATTACACCAAATACAATAAACTGCATCCCAATACATAGGAAAATAATACATTTACTGAAAATATCTTTAAGATGAATTTGAAAGGTTTGGGTTTTTTTTTTACATTCATCCAAACGTACAGTACACATTGCCTACTACGATGGCATTGTGACCGTGGCAAGAAAGGATGGTTTGCAATAATCTGTTTGGTTCTAAACTCGTTTATGAGTGATGAGTATGTGAGACACAGGGAATCAGCAATAACTGGAGCAAAATGTAAGACAAATTATTTTCAACCCTAGGAAGAGGGCAACGGCAAAACGTTTCCCCTCCAAAAATATTACCAAAAGAACATGGATTTGTCCCTATACAATAGTTACCAGGACTCAAGAGTGACCCAGAGGCAATCGAATCATGGTCAGCCTCCACCCCAACATGTTATCACTGAACATCATTAATAGCACAGGATTGCAAGTTCTTCTTGTACAGATTAAACTCTGTGTACTGCCATACTCACTATGTACATTTCCATTTAATTAGATATTAAATCAATATAAAAGCTATACTATAAACAGCTTTCCCCCCCCTTACGAAACTGCCCTCCCCTAATTTGAATATAAGCATAGAAAACTGCATGACAAAAGTTCTTGAAAACGTGGGGAAAATTAAGTGAGTCTTCTGCTACCGCTTGGCTCCTTTGCTCTAACTGTGCTTACCTCTCCATGCTCCTGTGCATGAGGAATGATGGCTGAGGAGGAAGGCCCAAGATATTTCGAGGGCGGGATGGAGGTGTGTGATGTTGGGGTGAGTTTTCCAACGAGGAGGAACGGCTGCTGCCATCATTGGCTAAGGGAAGCTGCAACGCTGAGAAAGAAGAGGAGAGTTAGACAAAGGATTAGTAGCACACTAGGAATTCCTAGGCTGAATCATTTTGCCCTGTAAGATGCAATGGGTGTGAATTCCTAGAAGGTTATTATTATCTTGACATCTCACTAATCAGGTTAACATTGCTGTTCCTGAATATCAAATACTACTGCTACTTCTGCACAGTAAAACCCATGTGTGCAAGCAGGAGCTTTCAACTACATCACTGTGAAAATTGGTTCTATCCTGGTCAAGTACTAAGGTTTTCTTCTATGCTGCTGCTCCAATCAGGCAGACCAAATATTAACCGCAAAGAATTGTAAACAATTAATGCATTCCTGTTATATTATCTGTTTCCAGATTTCCTTTTTCCTTTGAAGCAAACGGATGATTGCTCAAAATTTAATTCTGAAAACTTCTGCTTAAGTCTCTGCTTTAAGTAACAACAAACACCTAAGCATCGTCATGCCTTGTCGCTTCCAATTACAGTCAGCTTTTAAACTGAAGAACTAACACTTTCAAGGATTACACAAAAGCAAGAACTCCTATAAGAACTCTTAACATTGTGGATAATCATTAAAGGAAGGCAACAGAAAATTAAAAACTAACTTATCATTTCAAAAAAGTTATCTAGCAAGTACTACAATCAATTTGGCATCTCCTATGATAGAACAGATTATATTAAATTAAATTACATCCATACCGCAGTGTTAAGCTAATAGCTTACTTTAGATATTCTGGCTGCATAAATATGTGGGAAGTCTAATACTTTAAGCTGGTCATAAATGGAACAAGTCAGATTCATATTTAAATCTATTTTAATAACTGACAAGAAATTTGCTAGAATATAAAATGTTCTTTGTATCTTCACTAACAGTTAGTACACCGGGAAAAGTTAAACTGCTATGTGTTAAAACAGGGGTCCCCAACCCCCAGTCTGTGAACCAGTATCGGGCCGCGGCATGCCAGCAACCGGGTTGCACAAAAAAGCAAAGCCCCATCTGCAGGATGCAGGCAGCACACAAAACCATACCCCCTCCAGTCTGTGGAAAAACCTCTCTCCACATAACCGGTCCCAGGTGCCCAAAAGGTTGGGGACCTCTATGCTAGAATCAATATGCCAAACATAGTGCCGTACCTTAAAATAGACAGAAATTAAAAGAAAGTTCCCCCTAGTGAGCACATAAAACCTTACTAAATGAGGGAACATCAAAATAATAATAATAATGATAATAATAATAATGATGATGATGATGATGCAAAAGCAACAAATGTTAGTAGTTGGCTAGATCTGACATGTTTCCAACAAGAACATAGAATAATAGAGTTGGAAGTTAGAAGTCTTCTAGTCCAGCTCTGACACCCTATATCAGTGATGGTGAACCTTTTAGAAACCGAGTGCCCGAACTGCAACCAAAACCCGCTTGTCACTGGGGACTGGGTGGGCGTGGCCCACTGGGTGGGCGTGGCTATGGTTCTTATGGCAGATTGGGTGGCCACCTCAGTGTTACTCTTGGTGGGGGCTGGGCAGGGTTGGGGGAGTTCCAGGGGTCTCTGGTGGGTGGGGCAGCCAGGAGAACCAGTTGTTAAATTATTTGAAACCCACAACTGGTCGCTTCCAAAGGCCACGTGCTCGCTCGCTTGCTGCCCACCGTTGCTTCCAAAAGCCACTCACTCACTCTCCTGCCAAAATCTGCTCCTTTTATAGGTTCCTCTCTCCGCGCCCAGCTCTCACAGCTGTTCCCAGATTCTGCGTGCGTGGAGAGGGGGAGGGGAGCAGCCCGGCCCCGCATCCCTCTATCTGGGGCGACAGCGCGTGTGCCCACAGAGAGAGATCTGAGTGCCACCTCTGGCACACGTTCCATAGGTTCACCACCGCTGCCCTATATCATTTCAGACAAATGGTTGTCCAGTCTCTTTTTGAAAGCCTTCAGTGATGGAGCACCCACAGCTTCTGAAAGCAAGTAATTGCTCTCATTGTTAGGAAATTTCTCCTTAGTTCTAGGTTCCTTCTCTCCTTGGTTAGTGTCCAACCATTGTTTCTTGTCTTGCCTTTTGATGCTTTGGAATATAGTTTGATCCCCTCATCTTTGTAGGAGCAGTGCTATCATGGTCCTCTCAAGTCCTTCTTTTCATACTAGATAGACTCAATTCCTGTAATCGTTCTTCATACATTTTAGTCTCCAGCCCCCTAATCATTTTTGTCGCTCTTTCTCTGCACTCTTCGCATAGTCTCAACATCTTCTTTGTATTGTGATGACCAGAACTGGATGCAGTATTCCACGTGTGGTCACAAAATTGATTTCCACACTGTTTATAAGTTTGATTTGAGTTACTTAGATGACATATTGGTCATTTGACACAAGAACAAGGTAGATGGGGATCACTTGTTTTATAAACTTTTTGACAGGGTAAATTATTATTAGATAGCTCACCCAAAACACATCAGAAAACATTTACCTTTGACTACTCTTTGGCCTCTGAAATGTGAGAAGTACATCATTTACCAGATGTAAAATTATTTGATGTTCCAAATGCATCTTGTATTTCCATGTATGCTTTGATCCTTTTCTATCTAAATGAACATTAATTCAAAACCAGAAGTAAAATGAAGAAAGACGAGTTGCTAGAATGAAAAAAATCTCATCTATAGTATATATTCTACCTTTGTCTTAAGTGATATCTAATCAAACAAGCAAAATATCCCCTAGAACTACAGTAGAGATTTTGTAAGATGTGGAATGTTATAGTGAGTATGGGGAGGGGGATTAAAACTATCCTGACTTTAAATGTTATCAGTAGGCATATTTTTTCTATGGAATCCTAATTGTCAAATTCAAGAAACATTATGAGCCCAATCAGAAAGTTTTTATATTATATATACACCTTTGATATGACAATAGGGATTCTTTTATTCATAATTCAACAATATTTCTAGCATTAATTAAGTTTAATTTGCATTCTTATTCACAAGATAAACTTAAACTTTGTGATATCCCAGTTTGAAAATAGAAGGTAAATTCTTTTTCCACAAATTAATAATCTAATTTTGGAATTCAAGATGCTGGATTTATCTCAAGAGAAATTTGGATTGCCTAAAATTAAGCACCAGAGCATAATCGATTAAAGTATCTTTTGATTTCACAATATGATCAAGATACATTAGCATCATCTGAAATTCCTAAATTATTACCATCAGTGAAATGCATTTTGATTATTTTAATTCTACTGTATTTTACAGGCAATTAAAAGAGAACTATTAAGGTGAATATTTGCAAAAGGAAGTGTCAGAAAACCTATCCTAAGAAATAAATGGATAAGAATCTTAATATTATGTTTCTATGAATTTGAGACTAATTCAACAAAATATTTTTAATATTTCCTGGCAACCTCAAAGAATCTTTTAAAAAGATAGGCTGCCAATTTCATTGAAAATAATGGAAGGTACACTAACGTATCTAATATTGGCTCATTTTGCTTCCTATTCCTAAATTAGTTAACACGGTTTTAAGAAGAAGAAGGCGGCTTAAAACTGTGAATGTGATTTGAATTATATAACAAAAAATTACAATTTATCAATATATGAAGAACTATGAACTTACTGAACAGAACAAAGCAAAGACAATGGAGAACCAGTGCCACTCCAGATTTGCAAGCTTGGGTTGATGACATTTGTTTATTCTCTCCTTCAGAACCAGAATGATACACATAATGGAAAAAATAATCGATATTATACAAGGCAACAAGAGCCAATTGAGTGGGGTCCCCTTTTGGTTGTAAAGAGTTTGGTCGCCATTTTATATTTATATATTGTAGACATTTTACAATACGTGGTTGGGATTTTGTAGTGGTGGTGGTAGGGAAATCTTCTGTTCCATAAAGTATGCTATACCATATATGCAAACTGCTGTAAATCCTACCCCATTCACCTGACCTGGATGTACATACCCTCAAATTAAAGCTGACAGTCTGCAGTTAAAGCACATTGTGTTTGTTTCATTCCAACTCCATTGTGGTGATGTATAGAGCCAAAGATGTTCGAATTGTGTCGATGTCCCAATATTTCTGGACCTGACTGTATGTAACCGGCAGCCAAGGTTAAAACCCATCTGAACCACTAACATAACCATCCGACAGACTCTGTCACAAATTCTGATTCCATGTGCAGTGGCATAATCTGGTCTTCAAAGCTGTATGAAAAGAAACCAGGTTTGGACTAATCTAATCCCCAGGACATGATGTCCTGAAGAGTGGGTACCATGACAGAAAAAGGTCTCTTCTGAATTCCACCAAATGATATTCTTTAATAATATCCTGCTGGATCTGATGGGATGGATAGACACAATCAGGGAAAGAAAACCCTTAAATTATCCAAACCCATCACATTCAGGGCTTTATAAGTAACTACAACCACCTGAATTGAACTCAGAAGCACACTGGTAACTAATGCATTGAGTAGAGACGAAATAAGCATCAATCAAGAAGCTGACATAATGAGCTCACATGACTTGCCTTGTGAAAAGATGGATGACAGACAAATGTAATCAATCAATAAAAATAAATAAATAACTGCCCAGACCATTGCATCTTACACCTGCTGCAGCTTCAAGGGCAGGACCATGAAAAGCGCATTGCAGTATTCATTCAGAAGGCAATTAAGACGTAAGTCTGTGTGAGTAGAGTCTCTTGGCCCAGGAACAGGTATAATTAGCACATACCACAACTATAAAATCCCTCCTGGCCGTGGCTCCAAACTGCTCCTTGAACAGATCTCAACAACAGAAGCGAAGGCAAATAAATGGCTTTCAAACAAGAATGTAAGTATTAAAAAGAGCAAGATTGACCAACAGCATTAATCAAAGCCATTTATTTGCTCTTTTTAAAAATCTTTGTTTGATAAAAGCATTCTATCAATACACTGAAAGTTATAAAAATTTTCGTAAGCACTCTGGGTCTCGAGTAGAAAGGACAACAACATGTATTACTAAAATATATTACAGATATATTACATCCTTAAACTTTACACTGTTCTGAAAAGTATTGTCCCTATATTAGAGATTAAGAAATAAGTTCTGAGGCTGTAATATCTTCATATTCAGATTAATGCTGTCCAGTCATTGCTGAATAGGGTAATTTCAGAAATCTAAATTATAAATGAATAATTTTTCATTATCACATATGATCTTACCCACAAAATACATGGAATAAAGCTGAAAAGAAAATTGGAATGAACATAATAGAGACATAGTTTAAGAGCACAATTTCAAATGCTCAGAGAAGCCATCTATTTAATGAGCCAGATTTTTTAAAAAAATAAATTTGAAATAGATGGCTCTGAAACTATTGTGCAAGAAGTTGTTGCATAAAGGTTTTAAAAAACTAATAAACCAGGACACCAAAATAACTGAGGAATTATCATTCAATTTCAATTAACTCCAGAAAGAAATCTTTCCTGGCTAAAAGATTAGAGAGAACTCCCTATATCTGGAAAACAAATACTGTAAATGCCGGCGTACAAGGCGACCCGGCGTATAAGACGACCCCCGTCTTTATAGCCGGGCCGCATTCCTAGAACGTTGTCTTATACGCCGGAAACTACCAGTATTTCCGGCGTATAAGACGACTCGGCGTATAAGACGACCCCCGTCTTTGGCGCCGATTTCAGCACTCGCGGAAGTCGCCTTATACGCCGGCATTTACGGTAAATATATTAATATTGAGAGTTCTCAATATTACAGCCAATTTGATATAGAAATTAAGATGTTGCCCTAGAAACCAGGAGACTGTGTATAGAGTGCAGTACTGCAGGCCACTTTAGCTGACTGTGTTCAGCAGGTCAGCGGTTCAAATCTCACCGGCTCAAGGTTGACTCAGCCTTCCATCCTTCCGGGGTAGGTAAAATGAGGACCCAGATTGTTGGGGGCAATGTAAATATATATATATATATACATTGCTTACTGGTGTACACCGCTTAGAGAGTGCTTGCACTTAAAGCGGTATATAAGTCTCATAAATAAATAAATAAATAAATAAACTTAGGCACAAAGCCAGTTGGGAGGCCAGTCACTCCTTCTCGGCCCTGGGAAGAAAGCAATCTTGCCAAGAAAACTACAGAAACTGGTCCATTGACTCAAAATATACAAAATTCTTAATACTGGAAAAAGAAAAACTCTTAACAGACCTAAATGTATCTTTATCAATGAAGAAGAGGAATTGATACAACCTGACACCTAAAAAGTCAGTATAAAGGAAATAAATGAATGGGGCAGAATGTCACTAAGGTTCAACACACAATTTTTATTTTAACATCAGAAAAATAAAAATGAAAAGATAAATGCCAAAGGATAAACATATTAAAATCTTGCTCTTGGCATGTCACATTACGACCTTCTTGGTTAGCTACTGTTTTTTTTTCTTGCCCTATGCTTATTACTTAAATCTCCACTTTCTTCATTTGAACAATCAAATTCCTTTTCATATTTAATGAAAATAATACTGCCAATAAGTGTTAGTCCTATATGACTTTATAATGTGAACACATTGGAATGCTATATACAGTTCCAGTTAGAGTTGGAAAAAGTTCAGGAAAGGGAAGGCCCCAATCCGGAAAATGTACAGACATTGGGATTTTTTTTTTTAAGCTTTAAAGAGAGATGGGCGTTGTCTTACCTGAATGCCTTTCCTCAGCACGGAGATGGAGAATCCACCAATGGGTTAACTCTGCCTTCCTCCCCATTAGACCAAGTCAGCCAAATTTGCCACGCCCATCCTTGGGTAGCCACTCCCAGACTTGACGAAGGCAAAGCAGCTGACTATAGTTTGATGTGTTGGCTCCCGGCTCCCTAATATGTATTAATTGTTTTTAAGGGCGGGAGTGGATTCTCCATCTCCGTGCTGAGAAAAGGCGTTCAGATAAGACAACGCCCCTTCTACAGCATCGGAGATGGAGAATCCACCAATGGAACATACCAAAGCTTCACTGTCCCAATGGGGGGGAAACAGAGGGGGGCGTAGCCATGTCCCCAGTGGTTACCTGCTGGAGAACACTCCTTCCAAAGGAGGCGTCCGCAGATGCAAAACGGTCTATCTTGTAGTATTGATTGCTGCATAATTGAGTGACTCATCTACTTGTATCATGCGTCCCTCATCAAAGTTAAAACAAGCTTTGTTTTCTCATTTTGTCTTTCATAGTTGAGGTCTACCTATGATGACAATTACAGGCCTCTCTCATCTTTTTAAGTGGGAGAACATGCACAATTGGTGGCTGACTAAATACTTTTTTGCCCCACAGTGTGTGTGTGTGTGTGTGTGTGTGTGTGTGTGTGTGTGTGTGTATGTATATGTATGCACATGTATATATAGGTCTTTGGTTATTCGGGTTTTCTCCTACGTCAAATTGGAAGTGTCTTGACGACGTTTTGACGAAATCTCATTCGTCATCTTCAGGCTGATATTTTCGGCTTCGTGCTTCTAGGAGCAATATGTGATCGTAGCTGTTTCTTCCTTTTAACTTCCAGTGGGGATATGAACTGATTGGGTGAGAGCCTGGCTGTGTTCTGATTGGGTGGAAGTGTGTTCTGATTGGTTAGGAGCTTGGCTGTGCTCTGATTGGATGGGAGGTTGGCTGTGCTCTGATTGGATGGGGGAGTGTTCTGTTTGGGTGGAGGCTTTGTTGTGCTCAGGTTAGTCTGAGTTGCAGGGGGGTTTAAAATGGTGAACTGCATTGCTATAGTTTGGCTTCACGTTCGTGGTCGTGCCTCATCTTCATGGTGGGTGTCAGTTTGCTTCATGTATGGATTGGAGGGGTTTAAAGTGGCTAATGATGCAGCTGTGGTCTGGCTTCTGGTTTGTGGTCATGCCTCATCATCGGTGTGGGTTTGGGTTTGCTTTTTGCGTGGATGTGTGGTGGTGACATCCTGTGTGGTTTTCGTGAGTGTGGGTCTGGTGTCCTTTGTGTCGGGGACTGCAACTCAGACTAACCTGAGCACAACAAAGCCCCCACCCAAACAGAGCACTCCCCCATCCAATCAGAACACAACCAACCTCCCATCCAATCAGAGCACAGCCAAACTCCTAACCAATCAGAACACACCTCCACCCAATCAGAACACAGCCAGGCTCTCACCCAATCAGTTCATACCCCCACTGGCAGTTAAAAGGAAGAAACAGCTACGATCACTCATTGCTCCTAGAAGCACGAAGCCGAAAACACCAGCCTGAAAATGACGAATGAGACTTCGTCAAAACGTCGCCAAGACACTTCCAATTTGATGCAGGAGAAAACCCGAATAACCAAAGACAAACAGACAGACAGACATATATATGTTTTCTGAGGTTTTCGCGGGTGTTTGTATGTAGGTCTTTGGTTATTTGGGTTTTCTCCCACGTAAAATTGGAAGTGTCTTGGCAACGTTTCGACGAAGTCCCAATTATGCAAAGAAGGGAGGAAGAGCTGCGGTACCAGCACAAGTAAGGAAAGTGAGGAAATTACAGCTTGCAACACAGAAACTACGATCAAAACGCAGGTGGAGTGGCTGGGACCCATGACGAGGTCAAGAAGCCGGGCGCAAAGAACGCCACATTTATAAATAGCTTCTCCCATCGACTGGAGACTACCCTGATGATGCTGGCAGATGCCAGCGAAAGCTTGGTTTTATTAAAACTTTTTATAGTTTTATAACTTCCTGGTGTTCGTATATTTTATTGTTTAATATGAGTCTACCCAGGAATCACTGTTTTGTTTTTAATATTCTTAATAATATATATATATATATATATATATATATATATATATATATATATATATATATATATATACACACACACACACACACACACACACACACACACACACACACACACACACACACACACATAATATGAACTCTGGGTATATTCATGTTTAAAATAAGATGAGCACCAGAGTAGTTAAAACTATAAAAAGTTTAATTAAAAAACGCCAAGCTTTCACCGTCACCTGCCGGCATCATCAGGGCTTAAAACGCTAGGAAGTGAAGAAGTCCCTTTATAAGCAAGCCAAGGTCTGCGCCCGGCTCCTCGATCTTGTCATCGGACCTAACTGGGTGGATTGCACTCCGGTGATCCATTTCTTCCTGCACCACTTATCTACATGTATGTCATCACTTGTCTTCTTTTCCTTGGATTCCAGGATAGGTGGAACGCCCTCCCTATCTCCCTGATTGTTCTCACCCCCTCTTCCACTTTCCCGCTCGGGCTTGTGTGATGATTTGCATTTCCCCTTTTTCTTTTTCCCCTAATCCACATCCATGCAGCTGTTCTCTCTACAAGTGTTTTTTCTTTTTTCTCCAATACCTCCCCCTCATGCACAATTGTTACTAGGGTGGTCTTGTGTGACATTCTGAGCTATCTGGGTTAAGCGGTGAATTGGGGTGATTCGGTAAGCCGTTTGTCCGCATGATAAACCACGTAAGTATACCCATGCCCAGTCATCACGTCTCTCCCCCCCTTCTTCTGCCATCTTCTGCATCCCTCCTCCACACGCTACCATCGATACCATCGGTGGGGGGGGAGGTGGGATTTTGGTCTCCTCGGATGTCATCGCGCTCCTCTTCCACCCCCCTCCTCCCTCTGACATTTCTTGTTCTTGCATAAGCATACTGCGGATCGTTAAGGTCAATGGGTGTTATCGGTGCAAGACACGGCAAGCTGGTTTCACAAGCACCGCCCCCCCCCCACACATCCTCCCATCGGGGTTTGCTTTTCTCCCTTCTCTTCGGGCTGTCCATCCACACGCCGTAACTCTCAACGTCATCCCACATTTCATACGCTCTTAATTCGGTTGGTGTCGCTGGGCGGAGGAGCCGTCTCGTCCTCTTCAGATCGATCGCCTTCCTTCTCC